GGTAATTGCTCATATTAAGTACAAGCAAACGAAAGTCCATAAGTAAGAAGTAAATCCTTCCAATCATCCCATATCTACTCAAATTCTTGGAGCTTAGCTGAGATCTTAGCTGCAGTTAAGCTTTCGGTGGAAATAGGCTATAACTCTTGAGAAAAAAGTATGTATGTGTTTGATTTTTCTTGGCGCACTAAAATAAAAATGGCTGCCCCTTTCTTAATTTAACTTTTCACCGTAAGCACCTGTATATTATTGTCTTTAGATTAACCAACGTAAACAAAATTAAAATAATACTTTATTTGTTCTGTTGAAAAGACTAAAATAATTGAATAATATATTATATCCATTTTATTTTAAATGAATAATTTATTATATCCATTTCAATGATTTCAGTAGAGAATACATTTTTCTTTTTTTTTGCTTCACTTTTTATGTAATTTTTAATCTAAGCATTTTATCAAATGCAATTCTTTTGACAACAAGCACGTTTTGCTATGTTGCTTCATTTGCAAACGATTTGCCACTTACATGTTTATTTAACTTTTCAATTAAAGGAATACATAAACAACGCAGCTGAAAACTCACTCAGTAATGCAATAAATGAAGAAAAACTCAGTAATGCAATAAATGAAGAAAAAAAACTTTCTAATTCTCAATTAATTTCACATCTTTCACACGCTACTACGAGAACGAAGCTAAGGCCAAACATTTGCAGGAAGTTGAAAATTTCTTCTTAATTAAATTGGTATTTCCGATTAATCAACTGCTGCGTGGAAAGTTTCCTAACAACCCTGACTACGCTGAAGAAAGAGCTACAGCAACAACGGCAATAGCAATAGCAAGAGATACTACAGCACAATTGCTGTTAGCATCCGTAGCAAAGAAAAACTGCAGAATAAAATGCCAAGAACAAATTAAACTAAGCCAAAGAACATACTAAAATAACATTGATAGGATCCAGCTTGCCAGTTCCTCGGCTGCAAATAGCTGCCGTGTCAGATGTTACAAATAAAAACCGCAAAAGAAAATTTAATTAAAACAAACGAACGAGCGAACGAGTGAACGAGTGAAAAGCCAAACAACAAACAAGTCTCGCAAGTCGAACTGTGGTGGCCAGACTGGCATTGAGTGTGCGACGCTAAGTGTACCTGGATTTGAGACAGACTAACTTGTGTCGTGCGAAAAAGAGCTGCGGCGCAAACTGTTCAACTTCGCAAAATACTTGTGGCATAGCAGACAAGAATGCCAATAATAAAATTGTCAAATTTATGAAACATTTAAAAATTGCTGCCACTTCAGCATTGAATTCAATACGAAATGAGCACTTTGCAAATGTTCAAGTAGGTAGGAAGGAGCAGTCTACAACGCAGCGGGATGTGTGGGTGGGGTTAAGGGCGCAATGCTAAGCGATATACGATACAGAAATGTAATGAAATGAAGAGCGCAATGCTAAGCAGAAGGACTGTAACAAAAGCAGCAACAATAAAAGCAACCAACAACTAGTATAGGCAAATGGAAATAAAAATGCAAGAGGTATTTGAAAAAGAAAACAAAATGTGAGAAAAAGTAAATACGAAAAAAAAAACGATATGCATACCTACATACATATGTATGTAGCTAAAGTAAACTTCTGCGAAAAATTGTGTAAAAAAGTTGCAAAGTCATACTTACTACAATATTGCTGGCATCTTCACGGCTGCTTGGGGGGCTGGTTGGCTGACAGGCTGACAGGCTGACAGGCGGGCGCACAGTGGGCTTTGCTACAGTTATTTCTTGCTCCTGCTCCTACTCCAGCTGCAGCTTCGTTGGCTCCCTTTTACACACTCGCGCTGCTGCACCAACACCGTATGCGTTTACTGCTATTCGTTGAGTGGTTGTTTGTATGCGGTTGGTTGACTCTCTCGTTAGCAGCCTGCGAAGAGGATGACGACGACGACGAAGTATGTATGTATGCGCGTGTGTGTGTGCGTGCGTGCGTGCGTGTGTTTGAATCCAAAATCAATAACAGATTTTGGGGTGAAGGCAGCAGTTACAGCAGCAAAGCAAACACAAACTGAACTGAACTCCAACAGCCGACACAGTCCACAGCCAACAAACATACATACACACACAACTCTAAGGACACTGAACAGTGGCGTGGCCGTTTGATGTTGGCAGCGATAGGTTGGGAAGCTAACGGTGATGCTATGCCGCCGCCGCCGCCGCCGCTTATATTGAGGTTGCGGCTGTTTCTGATTCTGACGCTGACGTTGACGCTGACGCTGACGATGGGGCAGGTGCTGAGCCACTAGGCTGATGCACAGGCACAAAGTGATGTAGAAAATGGAGTGTGAGCGCGCGCGCGCACGTGTGTGTGTGTGTGTATAGTATGTGCGTGTAGCGCTACTTGAATGTATGCCTGCATGTGCGTCTCACACACACACTATTGCTACGCTCGCCTACTACGTTTACGCTTTAGCATCGAGACCAAGTCCAAGTCCAAACGCAGACGAAGACAAAGTTTTTTGCCTTTATTGTACGCTTATGCATTTCAAAGTTCAGTGTTTTTTTCTAGCTTGTTTTTGTTTTGCTGTTGTTTAATGTGCGCCTTCTGCTTTCTTTATCGTCTACAGCACAGTTCAATTTATTAATTTTTTTTTACTTTATTTTTTTTGTGTATTTGCTATGCGCGTCGAGTGAAAAAGTTTAAGAGCGCGTTACAACAACCATTAAGCGCTTTTTCTGCGACCCTCATCATCGTAGCGTAGAACAGTTACATTTTCTATGTTCTGCCTATTTATGCTTTCTGTGTGTGACTTGTTTTCAAATTTTCTAATTAAGTAAAGTGCGCGCAGCGGGCAGAAAAAACGCTGCTAGCGGCGAACATGGATAAATTGAGTATTGACGGCAACAACAACAAACAATTACAGTGACACGAATGTCAAAAAAAAATAAAAATAAAAATGTAATATGTAAGTCGTTACTTAAATGAAACGGCAAGGCTGCAGAAGATCTAAAAACTTAAAACAGCGCACGAACGGACACCGAATTGATGTTGGCTACGCATCAACTGTCGAGTGCAGCTGGAATGGAGAAGAGTCAGAAAGGCAGCAAGTAACATGTAATAGGTACACATGTACGTACATATGTAGCTGTTAGCATTAGGTGTGCGACACTTTCAGCTACACAACGGAACGGTGACAATAGCGACAATAATGGCATGCGAAGGCGCTCGCGGTTGGGGTGCGGCGCGTATGCCTTGATCTGCCGAGTTGCGTTATTTGCGGCCCGCAACAACTGGTGCTTTCCCATGCAACCTCGTTATCAGTGGCACAACATGCGTGCGTGAGACTTTGTGTCACAGCAGCCTCACTTGAAATGCAAAAAAAAAAAGTTTCAATAATAACTCAACTCGCGCCTACCAACCAATCCAGCCACCCACGCGGCATACACAACGAGCGTGCTCATGGCTCGACTGGCCTGTGCTTATTGCAACAGCGATTCTATCTCGGTATTTTTAGTAATTTTTATTTATTTTTTTTTGCTTTCGCTCGTTGCCATTGAAGTTGGCCGCCCCCCCATTGAGTCAGCTCAACCCTAACGCCGCCGCCACTACTCGTTACCACACAAAGAATAGATGATTGTTGCTTTTTAAAGTGGCAAATAGTAGGAAAAAAAATACGATTGCCTATGTCAATGTATGTATGTATGTGTGCGCTTGCGATCGCCCACACTCAAACACACACACACACACAAATGGCTACAGAAACATTGTTAGAATAGAGCAATGCAAACTCGCAATATGTGCAAATCAACAATGGTGGTAGTGCTGTGCTGCGCTGCGTTAAGGCAAGGTAAACTCGATATTTCCTCGTCGCCGCCGCACACACGAAAAACACCCACACGCACACTATACTATGTATGTGTGTACATAAAACAACAAATAAATACGAACTAACACCGTGAGGAGTCGGAGAAAGAACGCCGACTGCAGAAGGTGGCAAAAGGGTTAAAGATTTTTTTTATTTTTTAAGTATCAATTTTTTTTTTTTCAACTCAAGCGCTTGCATTGAAAAATTTTTCTTTATTTTCTTAAGTTTCTATACCAGCAAAAACGCATTCAATATCCAACAGTTTTAAAGTATTAGTTTCAGTTCGTATTTGATATAAACCCTTTTCTCGGCTTAGTTAATTATTCACAGATTTCTTTATTGTCTAAATTTACTTAAATTTTCACTTTTTCACATAATTTGCAGCACCACTAAATTCTGTATGTTTGGTTTTGTATGCTGTTTTACTACTCGCTTGGTGCCCGTATGCCGTGGTAAGTGCTGAGCTGTGTACCCTTTCCAGCCAAGGGCTCGCGTTCAACTGCCACTAATAGCAGCATCAAGGTACACTGTTATAGACGCGAAAATCGCGCAGATCCTTCAAAAGGATACTAGGAACAGCGCAGCTTCACAATGGCACAGCAACGAGAGAGCGGCACAGATAGAGAGAGAGAGAGAGAGGGCGCGCGCGCCATTTGGCAAACTAGCTCCGTCGAAGAGCACAGCCTCGCTCCATGCAAAAAACTATGCAAACCTAGCGATGCCAACAGCGATGCAGCGCTGAATGCAGCTTCAGAATATCACATCACACAACATGTGAAAATAAGTTTCTAATACTATATAACCCCACCCACCAGTCATGCCATTCTATTAAAGCCAGCAACACTCTACATATATGTATACATACAAACTTACATGCACGCACGCGGTACATGTGTAAATATGTTTATGTCCTGACTGGCTACATATGCCTAAATAAATATGTACATACTATACCGGGTGTAAATTTTACCTTTCGCTGTCAACTGCACTGCCACTGTCGACTTTGGCAGCAATCAATTTCCGGTACAACGTTCCGGCAGCTGCTAATGCCACAGTTGTGGCAAGCAAGACAGCAATAATACAGATTCAAGCAAATGGCGTGCCATCTCACTTCAAAGCGAGACTGCCAAACCGCCTCCCTCTCCCTCTGTCTCCTTTCTCTACCAACCATCATGCTTCACACTTCACTGCGTTCTTAGCTGTGGGATGCTGTTGCAAAATCAAAATGTGCTTGCTCCAGCTTGCAGCAATCTCGTCTGCTGAATCTGCACCACCAGCATCAGCTTAAACTTTCTCACAGACGGACGCGGCGAGTAAGAGATGGCGACTGCGCAATGCTATGTAAATCGAAGGTGGAAGGAAACGCATTCTCGCCGATGGTAATACATCACTTTCACATTTACACACGACGCGCTCTCGCTGCTGCACTGTGCGTATTTGTAATTGATGCTGGCTGGCAGATTAAGCGTAGAACAGTCAAATGGACGCAATCGTTATTGGCAACGCAACAGCAATGACGAAATGTAAAATAACGTTCGCATCTTAAGCGAAAACGAAGAGAACGATGCCACAATGCCTATAAGGTCGGCTGTGGCAATGACAGCATCGGTGCAACATACATACAAGTCAGAGGCTAAAGGGACGTATGCACATATTAAGTAAGCACAATTACACAGAGAATCGGTAAACGACTTAACGGCTCAGAAACTTGGCGACTCAGCGACCCACCGACCGACCGAAGGACTAACCAACGAGCCAACCGACCTCTCAACTAGCAGACACTATGACAACTCGACAATCGACCTGACGAACATGCCCCAAACTACATATAGTGATATGTATGTATGTATGTATGCATGTAGTATGTATGTACCGACCATCGTAAACCTTACATTTCATGATTTGTAATAATTTCAGTTCGTATTTGTAAGTTCGCATTCAGATATTCAGCAAAGAATTTTTATTGCGCAATGAATACGACAGACGCAGTGACAAATTGCAGGGATTGCATGTTGACACATGCAAGCCTCTCGCCAAGCAGGTGGGCTGTCAACCAGTAAGCATAAGTAGTAATAAGTATCTCATGAATATATGTATAAAACAAAAACGTTTTTAAAAAAACAAATTTGAAATAAATTAAACTATTTCCTTTATGAAATTTTTGCATATCCACTTCTCAGTTACCATATAAGAATACTTTCCTAAGTTACAATTTGATGTCAATTCAAAGTAAGCTCGGCTTAGTCTGATACATCCTCCGGACAAAGCATCCGAAGTTTTTTGCGGACCCTGCGTGGCTTACAACCATGTAGAGGTAGTAACTAATGGAAACCATTGGCCACAGTGCCTACCCACTACTTTTTTTTCAATTAAATACTTTCTTCGCCTCACTGGGCTACTCAGTAGCATAGTTCTTTGCAAATGTGTTTTCTTAAACTGTATCCACGGTTAAAAGTAGATGGAATGATGAACTATACAAGCTCTTTCAACGACATGGACTTACATAAGCTCTTAAGAATTCAACGAATACGGTGACAGGTAACCAAGTCAACGGAAATAACATCTGAGTCTTTCGACACAACATAGTTATTTTAAGGGCACGAGTCTTCCGTAGGCAATTGTCATTCTTGAAACCGCTTTCTGTGCTTCGAAAAACTAATAATTGATAGATCTGCTAAGAAGGAGGTCTTGGCGTAGCTCTGTTTGTATTTTAACAATAAGTTTTCTAAAAATTAAAAAATAAAATTAAATGTATAATTTTCAACAAAATAAACACTAAAAATTAAAGAAAATTTAGTTAAAAATAAATAGATCAAAAGAAGAAAAAATTAGTACAATAAGTTTCAAAAAATGTCTGTTTTCAAAACAATAAAACCTAGAAATTAATAGAAAATTATATTAAAAAATAAAAATAAATAAATTTGAAATAATAAAAATAAAATACGTCCCTAAAAAGAGAAAAAAGATATAAGATTCCTAAAAATTTTATGATATTAAAACAAAATGTTTTCCGCTTTAAAAACACTAAAGTTTAAAAATTAAAAGAAAATTAAATTTAAAAACAAAAGAAAAAATACATAACATAAATTTCTAAAAAATTTTGTAAACAAAATTAAAAGATAAACATTTTTCTATTTAAAACAATAAAATCTAAAAATTAAAAGAGAGTTAAATTTAAAAAAGAAAAGTAAAATTAAATAAAAAACATAATATCAGTATAGAGGTTAGATGAAATTTATGTGTTTAAAACAATAAAAATTAGAAAATTGAAAATTATTTTAAAAAAGAAAAACTATACATATTAAAAAAATAAAAAGCTCATAGAAATTAAATTAAAGGAAAATATTCAGTATTTTAAAACAACCAAATTTAAAATTTTAATTAAGAAAAGAAAGAATTCATTTAAAAGAGAAAATAAACAAAATAAATTTCTGAAAATTCAATTATATTAAAAAAATATATCTTGCTTTCCAAAACATTAAAATCTAAACATTAAAATAAACTTTAATTAAAAAAGAAAAAAATATATTTTTTTCGTTTTAAGACAATAAACATTAAGAGAAAACTGAATAAAAAAAAAAGAAAAAGTGCCTAAAAATCAAACGAAATTAAAACCAAGTATTTTTGCTTTTAAAGCAATAAAATCTAAATATTAAAAGATAATTTAGTAAAAAAAATACATAAAATAAGTTAATGAATGTTAAATGAATTTTAAAAATATAAATTTTTCTTTTTAAATCACAGGATTTTTACAAGGGTTTTGGTATCATGTTTTGTTAATTTGAGCCAGTATTCTTAGAAAGTGGATTTCAGAGCCCGAGCGCCAATGTCGAGAAATCGCCAACGTAGGAAGTCAGGGGAACTCTCTCCGGTAGCTGACGAAATTTCAAAATATAACAATTAAACAATCTCGGCGATGAGACACCACCCTATAGGAAAAATTACTAACAACTGTCAACCGGGTAATTCAACGCCACCCATCATAGTCCTGGTGGGAGAGAGAATTCCTCCGGCAGCGTGGGGTGACAGACGGGGTTCAAAAGCCTTTAAAAAGTCCAGCGCTGGTAGGACGGTTCTATCACATGGGCGGGTTACGGCCGCGAGTTACGAGTGTATTTATGACGTCAAGTGTTGCGGTTGTACTGTGCACTTTATGAGGCTTCGCTGGGGTCAGGTGACAGGTGTATGTACAGGGTGGGTCAAATAAGACCTACCAATGCGAAACGCGTATAACTTCTTTATTTTTTAATATTATTGTTATTTTCTTTCTGCATGTGATAGTTAATCTCTTGGAAAATCATAATGGACCAACCAACAACAACTACTATTCGTTGTACACAATTAGCCACACAAATTGACTTTTTAGGTATTGTTTTGATGTCGGATGAAGCGCATTTACAAGAAAAACTGTAGACTGTGGGCTCTGAAAATCCCAGAGCAACAGACCAGCACCTCTTACACCCATCCCGGTGCACTGTTTGGTGTGGTGTTATGACCAACAAAGTTATATGCCCATATTCGAGAATGAGGATGAAACATCAGAAAGAATTTTTGGGGCTTCTTACAGAACAATGATTAACAACTTTTTGCGGCCAACGGCAGAGCAGCATCCTAATTTGGTTTTAGCAAGATGGATCTATGGAGCTATGAAGTTTGGATGGTAGGTCTTATTTGGCCCACCCTGTGGTACGGAAGTAGCATGGCCTCTTCACTACCAGGAAGGCGATAGTTATCGAACGATATGACCTGTTAGCTCTTTTCCACGGCTGGAGTAATGGGACCACCCTCCCATTTTCCACGCATCATGCGAGCTCCGTGGAATCGAGGAGACTCCTTTGGTGCTCTCTTGCATCGGCGAGTTGCGCGAGTTGAAGGCCGTGGGTACGGCGTAATGATGGCTGAAGCTGAAGTCAACTTTACTAAAAAATCACATTGATTTTGGCAACTTTTTCCACACATTTTCTTCCATACAAAGTATATTCGACAATTTTTTGTAGTATGGTAAAAGATTCGTAACACAGTCAGAAAAAAAATTATCAAAATTCAATTTCTGTAAATCAAAGGCTTACATATTTAAACTATGAGACCCATTTTATTTTAGATGCAAATATTTTCTTTCGACTTAAATTTTATTATTATTTTCCATTTAATTTTGGTACTAAAAATTAAAACGAATTTCATTTCTGAGCGACGCTGCTGCTGACCACCTCAATAGCATAGCAAGCGCCACCCTAACCTAACCTAACGACATGTATCAGATATGGATGTATGTATGTATGTATGTAAGGACATATTTATTTGGGGAAAATTCCTATCTAGCCTTGCCATACCTACTGTAGGCTGCCTAATTTCCAACTTCTTCTGGCAAACATCCCTTTAACTTCACAGCATGCACTTTATCTTTGTTTACAAATTCAACCGCTGAATAGAAAGGGCTTCGGCAACTGCATATGCTCAGATACATTTGTAGGTGAATACGAATGTCACCCACTGGCTACGGTGTTGTTGTTGTATACACTTTGCGTATGAGTGATAGATAAACTCTTGGCTGACAGGCTGACGGGCTGGTTGACAAGCCAAGATACGACG